CATGTGTACGAAAACTAGTTTTAACAGCAGCTTGATATTCGGAAGAAAAGTGTGCACCTCGACTGGGAATCGAACCCAGGACAGTGGTATTCACGACCATTGCTCTGACCGCTGAGCTATCGAGGCACAGCCTTCGATACACACATTTTCTTCCTTAAGATTACACTATTAAATAGTGATGAGGATTTTTACTATACGCAAACTAATTTTATCGCCAAGCACGCCTAGAAGTGAGAACACACCAGGACCATACAAGACCGAATCGCACTTTTTATATGTTACCGGCTTTCTTAGAATAGCAAACGGACATATTTTTAGTAGCGAAGCCATGAAAGTTTTATGTAAAATCCTGTTATATTTTATTGAAAGCTCGTAATGCTGCCTTAGATAGCTCAGCGGTCAGAGCAATGATCGTGAATACCACTGTCCTGGGTTCGATTCCCAGTCGAGGTGCACACTTTTCTTCCGAATATCAAGCTGCTGTTAAGACTAGTTTTCGTACACATGATCACTTTTATTGCGGTCACTAAAATTTGACATTCATTTTATAACAATGAATGAATGAATGGATGATTTTACGCAAAGTTAGGATATCACAAAAAAGTACAAAAGACTTGTCCTATCCGTGGATACTCTGTGATAACCTAAAACTAGAAGTTTCAATCTATAAAGAATCTCTTTATACATATTTGTTGGAGTTGACTCTAAAATTTGAAAGTCAACTAGTTCAGATTGCAATGAAGAAATATGAAATTGAGTAGCACAAAGTATATCCTATTTTTAATCAAAGAGATCAAGGTTAATAGTAAAGAAACAAACCTTTACACAGAGACAAACAACAGTAGTAAAACGCTAGAGGAACGGCCACCTAACAGTTTTTACATTTTGAATATTTACCACTGTGACATTTTGTATAGCATTTTCGGTTATTTTTCTTACACTGACACCGATTTATGTTGCCATCACCAGTGCATTTACGAGTATCGATTGACTGAATCTATTAACAAAATGTACGTGCGGAAGGATTTCAGTGTGAACTTAAAGACAGATTTTCTTCATAGTCCTGATATAACCTTAATCACCAGTACAATTGCTACTCAGAATAGTAAAATAGGATATATTTCGTGCCAGTCAATTTTTTTATATTTCTACATTTCAATCTGAACTAGTTGACTTCAAAATTTTAGAATCAACCAGTTACAATCCAGTTGACTTTCAAATGACTTGATGATTCCAACGATTCCAAAGATAGTCACAAAAAGACATATTTGAAACCATAGGTTTTTGGAACATAGTTACAAAATTCAAAAACTGACGAAGTCCTGATTCGTATGGTATAATAGTATTTTGAGCATATGCATTATGTAACAGGTGGTTAGTTACGCTGGTACGAAAATTTTTTTTGTGGTGGAAGAGAACATGGTCGAGCACCTGGTTTTAACATTCCAACTTTTCATAACTTCAAACGAGACAAAACAGTCAGCAGCTTCATTTTCCAGATCAGGTATGTGTTATGCGTAGGACACAAAGTGAGATTCACATGCATATAGAATAAAGTGTTTCATTAGTGACATGATGGCTTTATCTCTAGATCCGCCTCTTCGTATGGCTGTACGATAGTTCCATTGTCTAAACGAAGCAGGATCTTCTTTCCTCGCCATATTTTACCCCATAAAGAATCAGTTACTACTAAATGTAATAGTTCATAGTAGGATGTAGACATGTCTATATGAACAAAATTCAGTCATGATGAGGCAACTAATTCGTCCTTCCAATAGCCCCCAAAGCCGGTTGAACGAGCTGCGTCAGTGAACAATTCCATCTCACAGAAATTAATGTGAATGTGACAAGTTGTGTCCATGTAACAGAAATTAATGGTAGGCACACCATTCCAAGCTCGCAAGAAGGGATCCAAGCCCATATTAAGGGATCAAGCCGGCAAGCTATTGAAAGTGATACGGAATAATGTAATGGACTAACTGTACATGATAAAACAATCAGATATGATACGAAACTTCTACCTGCGCTGGACTAACACGTGAAGCATGTCCGAGATAGGCAATGATACTCAATAATTCATGTTTAGTACAACGTTTCTCGTTTAAGTAACTGTGGACTATCTCCAAAACTCTAACACGTTCATCTTCGGGTAGACGAACCATCATCAACTGACTGTCAATAATAACGCCTGGATCTTCTAAAACAACTATAGAACCAACCAGGTGATAGTGGTACATCAAATCTTTTGAACATTAGTTGCGTCGGAACCATATCGAGATCAACTTCATCTGGAGGACGAAATGCTATGAAATCATCTAATAGATGCAAAATAAATCGAATACCATAATTCTCTCTCGCAATCCAACAAATTATGGGGGAAAACAAGTCAAAAATCTTCGGACTTGAACGAGAGCTAAAGACCAAACGTCTATAGAAATAGTAAAGCCATTTCAATACATATCAATGTATCGGCACAATTCAGGTTAAGAAGAACGATTTTGAGCGCATTAAATATATCAGTTTTAACCATGGATTTATTAACTCCGAAACTATTCACAATTTGCAATGCATCATCTAACTTTACGTATGATGACAGTGGAAAATCCTCTTTATCAATTAATGAATTAATACTCGGATATGATGAATTGTCATATGGTGCACTACGATCTATGATAAGACATAGCTTCTGCTATATTTACCGTAAGCCACGCCTATCGGTGATATACGATAGGTATCAAACGGTGGCTTAACAAACGGACCAGTCGTATAGTCCTGCTTCTCGTCCTTCTTTATCAAATCTTCAACGACACGAGCTGAACGATTATTTTTACACTAGAAAGACGTTGAAGGCAGTTCAGATAAATTCATATCAAAGCCAGACGTGAAGCCGTCAACGAGAAACTGAACAAGTTATTGGTCAGAGCGATTAGTTAGCTCTTTTTTCAACCGAACAACGTTAACTGATATTTTTGCACACTGCTTAAACTCTAAATATGGACGGAAAGAGGACATATTCACAGTTTAATCAAACAGATGGACACCGTTACCATGCTAAGAAATAAATCTTAATTGTATTACAACATTTGTTGCAAACATGATGATAATTGCAACTTGAACGGTGACAACGATTGACATTCTGTAATTCACGTATCTCTTCATATGCGCCATCAATGAAAGTATGAGGATGAAGTGGGCAAGTAAAACTTGGCTATGCACAACGTTCACTTACCCTTTTTTCCTCATAATTTTCTCGAAAAACAAACAAAAACTACAGAAATTTTAGATATTTTTTTGGCTCAGTTTTCACCTCCCTATGCTATGAAAGCATGCCGAAGCTGCTGAAATGGTCCACTTGCTCAGAAAAAAAACTTAAAAATAACTGATAGAGTTTATGCGCTTAAACGGTACATTTTCTTCTACGAAACCTAAAATGGTTTAGAAATCTCTATACCCTTTTGGGTTTCGTACACAAACGTTTAATCAAACCTTTGGAATGAGACTGACAAATAATAGCGTGATATGCTTCTTCGACGATACGATCTATTCGATCGGATTCTTAAATGACTTCATGTTTTAAATTGTTTTGAATCTGTAATATTTCTCTATCAGTTTCATCTGATAACTGTGTATATGTCAATGTGAATAATATGCTGTAAAGATATGTAAACAGTTACGACTTTCCGGATATTCTAATTTCGTCTGTTTACCGTTCCACTCAGTCGACTTTCTAATATTTCCGAAGGGCAGTTGGGTCTCTAGTTAACGTTTACTGCAAACCTTTTACCATTACGTAGTCATTTTTCCATCAAAGACATGAAATAAATATCTGTATCTACTTTATTTATCTATAGTTTAGCGAGAACAGGCATTTTTCAGATAAACGACCAGTTTTGCCATATTCATTAGACTAGCAAAACGTCCATTAACATTGTTAACAAGGAAAGTACTGAACTATTTCCTGATAAATTCCAGTAGTAGCTGCTACTGACAAGATCATAACAGAATTTTTAATGTGTACTGTGACATATTTCCTTATAGAAAAAAACGGATGTTTATTGAGATAACCACCGTAATTATCATTCATTATAATAGCCATTAGCTGAAATTTCGATTAGACTTATGTGTATCCGGTCATTCTTATATTGAATATCGTGCCAATATGGGTCACTTTCAAATGAACTCACACCGATTTCTTCTAATGTATTATCGATTTCAAGTAAGAGTTTAATTAGAAACCGGCGACACTGTCTTCCTACCAAATGCTTCACTTTTTTACCGTTCAAAAACGTTAAATCTCTCGTGTGTACTTCTAATTCAATTCTTTTGAGATTTGGCATAGTATTCAATAACAATTCTGATTCAACAAACGTGTAATCATAGAGCTTGATTTTCAAATATTTCAATTTCGGAAGAAGAACGGCAGGAGGAGGCATGTTTGAAAGATAGCTAACGTTGACAGTAAGTGTTTTTAATTGCGGACTATGTTGGATAATTGAATTTAAGTCAAGAGCGGTGCATTTTAGTTTCACATGTTCAAGACTATTTGTTGTCTGATTACTAAAAATAAAATAGATTTTAAATTCTATAATCTATAATTCTCCTTACTTTGTGATTTCTGGTTTTGAAAATGAATTTAGTCTATACTGCGTTATCATTTCAAATATTTTTAACGATGGTAACCAATTATCATAAATAATAGCTGATACAATGTTGTCGATTTTGTTGCCAGGATAATCACATGTATCCAGTCTTAATTTAAATAAATTGGAACATTTCAGAAGGAGTACCGTAATTAAGTCTGGTCTAGATGAGCCCACTATTGTCAAACATTTAAGACTGGGAAACATGTCATTTGACCAATTGCTTGAATATTGAGTCAAATGACCACCAATCAAGGCCAGTGACGTTAGATTCTGACAGATAGTAGGGAGCACAGAGATGGAGAACTTTACAAATTGCCCGTTACTCGATACATTATTCGAATCAAACGTTGGTAATAATCGTTCATCGGTCAGTATTTGGTCGAAACGTTGGTTAAGGTGAAAAAATGAGACGAACACTTGAAATACATCGAGCAGTTCCAGACACTCCATTAATATATCGTCGCTTAGATCTTCTAACCGTGACATTTTACTCACTTGACTGGTAATTATCTTTAAAGAAATCTGACAGATAATAGGTTCACGAAAAAAAAATTATAAAAATGCTAGAGCATTCGTCAAATGATTCTGTTAGAAATCAGCGGTGACTCAACTCAAACATACTGGAGAGAAAATTGAGTTTTTGTTTTTATTATGAAGAACAGTAAGTAAAAGAACGTGTAAAAATAGTTTTTCTGTTCTGTAGGAGTATAAAAAGGCGACATTATGCTTTATCTTTATTTTCTATCAAATGTCATTCTGTTTTTGTTTTTGGTGCTGGATGTTGAAAGTATATTCTAAATACTTCTGTTTATCTGAAACAGAAAAGCTTTCATACCGTCTGTCGACGAGAGCGGTGAGGAGGAGAACAAGACGGAAGAATCTGTTATCAGATAATATTTCTTTGCGGAGGCGATATTTGTTTATGATGAGAAATTGATAATGGAGATAGTACATGGTTCGACGAAGACTCGATGAATCTAAGACAATTTTTGTCTCTGCTTATTTGTACGCCCTCAATAGTCTTCTGGAGGCATATATTCCATCTCTGTCAATCTAGTATGTAAGAATTAAACATAAACCAGTATCACGTACACTACTACAGAGAAAAAACATATATATTAAATGAAATCAAAAGTATTGCAAGAAGATGAATATTTCATATTTGTATATTTTTACTAAACTAGTAATCGACTTGACTAGCTAAATAGAGTAAAACTGCATCAATCTGAACATCTCGCCGTTCGAAAAGTATAAGAGAAACAGAATGGAACAAGAACGTGACGGCATTTCATTCCGGTAGATACTACTGCTCTGTCTACTTTCTACTTCATGTTCACTAGCCTACATTTCCTTCAAGTAGGCTTTTTGATCGCCTCTCTGTAAATATCCAGTGTCTGCAACAGGTTTACGATATGACGGAAAAAATTTTCATTCTCTTGTAAGGCAATGCTCATCGATTCACTCCGTGCTCGACTCAAGGAACGTTTTTTCATCGAACTCGACACGGATGAAAACAGGAGTTAAGGGTCCCCCTCAAAAATTATCTCCGACACCGTACATCCGATCTTGACGGAACTTTCCATAAATGTTTGGCTTAATGAGTTACGGGAATGAAAAAACATTTTTGCCTCCAAGTCTTACCGTAAGTTTTCCAGAGATCAAGTTCCAAAGAAGACCCTGAAGTGTTTCCCAAGATTTTTTAACATACTTCAAGCTGGAGAGTTCGGGTTTGTTTTGGCTTAAGCTAGACAACTAACTACATCGTCTGACCGGCGCCGATTTTTTAATTAAGCCTTTATTGGTTTTCCAGGCAACCAACAACCTCCAACCCTAAAAACTTTCCGAATTTTCTTAATTTGATAAAAAACTAAGACCTAATTCGAAAATCGACGCCGGTCACACGATGTAGTTTCTTTTCTTCTTTTAAACAAAAAAAGAATAAACTTTCTACGACAAACCGCTATAAAAAATCTTGGGAAATACTTCAGGTGTAACTCTTATATAGAGAAAACGCTGTATTAAACGCTGTATGAAATACTCAATTTTAGAACTTCTAGGAAAATGCTTTTAACTTTTTGATGCAAAGTCATATAGAGTCGTGCGAGGTCTTATTTTGATCAGAAACGTTTGCCTTACAAATCTGTGTGTTTAGAAAAATTTCAATTGCATTAGTATCCAGGAAAAAGCTATCATTAGAAAATTTGGTGCTTGCGCCCCCCGGCGCCAAATATTCTAATGAATTTGCAGGCACGGCTACACNATTAAGAGCCCCCCCTCAGAAATGGTGATTTTCTGTCAAACTATCGGTTTTGAGGTACGCCCATAGGAAGATAGCCTGCAGTGTCTCCTTTCAGAATCTGTATCGCGTTTGGTTACAAAAGAGGTTTTTCTCGGATGTTGAGTAAGTTTTCTAGGAGCCTCGAAAAGCCGGACCTTCAAATACATTAGAAAATTTGGTGCTTGCTCCGCGCTGAACCAAATTGGATAAAAATTGGGCGCCAAATGCAAAATTTGTCGATGAATCCGACAGCGAGTTCCTTATAATTACATCTTCACTTCTTTTTTGGCGTCGACATAATCAACGTGGTTTTTGCCTAAATTTTATTTTTCTCATTGGCGCCTTTTT